CAGGCTGGAATGCAATGGTGCAATCTCGGCTCACTGCAACCTCCCCCTCCCGAGTTCAAGTGATTCTCCTGCCTCAGCCTCCCGAGTAGCTGGGATTACAGGCGCCCATCACCATGCCTAGCTAATTTTTGTATTTTTTTTTTTTAAGTAGAGACAGGATTTCGCTATGTTGGCCAGGCTGGTCTCGAACTCCTGACCTCAGGTGATCCAACTGCCTTGGCTTCCCAAAGTCCTAGGATTACGGGCATGAGCCACCACGCCCGGCCTAGATTTTCTTTTAAAAAAAGTTTTAAAAATGTTTATTTCTTTCATTATTTTTTTGGATACAGGGTCTCACTCTGTCACCCAGGCTGGAGTGCATGGTGTGATCGTAGTTTGCTGCAGCCTCGTACTGGACTCAAGCAATCCCCCCTCAACCTCAGCCTCTTAAGTAGCTGGGACGACAGACACACACCACTACACCCAGTTAATTTTTAATTTTTTTATTTTATTTAGAGATGGAGTCTCACTATATTGCCCAAGACAGTCTCAAACTCCTAGCTTCAAGCCAGCCTCCTGCCTCAGCCTCCCAAAATGCTGGGATTACAAGCATGAGCCACCATGCCTGGCTTTTTCAATTGTTTCTAATTTATATCTGTCTTCTTGTGCCAGTGCCATACTATTCTAATTACTATAGTTTTATGGTTTATTTTAATATCTAGTAGGACAAGTCCCATATTTTTCTCTCTAAATGTTTTTTAACCTTAAGCAAGTAGTTCTTTTAGAATAATGATATATTTAATATATAATATTCTTCAACATCCCTATTTTGATTTCAACTGGAATTTGTTAGATAAACATTATAAAAGGTAGAATTTTTATCAGTTTAGTATTGGATAGGATAGAGAAATTTTCAGTGCAGGGTCTGGCTAAAGCAAGTTTTGGGTCAGTGTTTCAACCTCTGGTCTGGAAGTCCCTGGACCTAGAACATTTACTTAATTGGCTGTTGTTGGGGCATTTGAGTAGTGCCATCAGAGTCACTAACAGCCATGGTTCTTGGATTTTTGGATTATGGATCCCTTTTAAAAGCATGTGAAAGTTATGTGCCATCTTCCCTCAAAGGGACATAAACGGAACTTTATGTACAATTTCAGGGTGAAATCTATTTATGGATCATAGGTTAATAATTCCTGCTATGGGAACTGAAGATACCAAGATATAGAAGTCTCATATTTTAGGAATATCTAATAAATGACTGGATTATTATGTAATTGTCTGCAAAGAAAAATTACTATTTTTGTGATACATGGATTAGTGATCAGCTATTGTACCCCAATAATAAAAATAAGAATATTGAATTTCTCTGATAGCCTGAATGAGAATGAGGATTTTGAATAACAACCTTGGGGGATGTCTAGGCTAAACAAGGAACAGTTATAAAAGTAGTAAGGAAGACAAATATGCCAGGATATGGAACAGAACATGAACTTTCAAGTCACTTAGACCAGAATTTGAATCTCATCTCTGCCACTTACTAGCTCTGGGAATTTAGGCAAGTCACACATGATGCTCTGAGTCTAAATACATTACAGTTACTGTTAACAATAACAATAATAAAATATATCAAGAAAATAGAGCATTTCTAATTTTAAATGTGAAGCTCTGAGTAAGAAGAGTCAAAGCAAAATAGTGAGGTATTAAAGGTGAGTTTGGGTGTTTTTGCAGTTATATGATAGTCGTTTAGCAAAAGCTAGTTCTTGCAGAATTAGAAGCCTGACTTGAGATTTCATGAAAAAAGCCAGTAGTTTTAGTAACTCAGAAATTTGAAGAAAAGGACTAGTGAACAAATTATACAGATGGAAAAGTATACATACACTTCAAAGGAGCACCCAACAGAACATATTGCCATTTTGTAGATCACTGGGATTTAATCTTTCATCTCTCATGACAACAACAACAGTTCTGTGCCAAGAACTGTGCTAAACACTATATGCATTATCTCTTTTAATCTTCACAACAACCCCCAGGAGGTAGATCTCATCTTCTGCATTTTATCAATGAAGTAGGTCACAGACCTGGTAAGTGGCTAGGATTTATTCCCATGCTTAAGCATTATACTGTTACCTCTTGAATTAGTCCACTCATGTAACTGCAATCTAACAAAAAAGTTCGAATGACCAGGAATTTTTATGTATCTCTATAATGTACAGAATTTATTTTGAAAATGAGGGATTTGTTAAAGTTATCAAAACAGCCCAATTTAGTACCCCTACATCTGTATTTTTATATAATGATAGTAAAGAAATATGGAACCTAAGGCAACTTCTAAATGCATTGATTCAATTTTTTTTTCCAGTTAACCAAGTTCAGTTAACTGGAACCTTTTATTCTTCTAATCATCGTTATTTATATATGTATTTATACATATGAACATAAGGAAATAAATTCAGTCAACCATTAAGCATTATATCCAAACAAGCCCAAATGTTTTCTTTCATCTGTTTAGAAGTTTTTCAGATAAGGAATATTACATCTTTTAATTTTTTGCTAAAATTAGAATTAATTTTTACTTTATGTAAGAAAAAGAGCACATTGAAACTATACCATATACTGATCATTTATATAAGATAATCTTATCTGAAAGGCAATCTGTTTTTTATTTGTCTGAAATAAAACTGACATCTCTTAATAAATCTAAGTTGTCTTTTCTTGGCTGTTAGATCTTTTGTGGGAATAATTAAGAGAGCACTGAGTACAAAATATTTTTATTTCAACTGTTCAAAAACTAGGTTATAATATATAAATTTCTCTAAAAATATTTGAATGTGGCTTTAAGGAATACTGTGCTGTTCAAGAACTTTGATTATAAGTGAATTCTATTTAATTAAAACTTGACTGCAAAAAATTTTTTGAGTGCTCCTAATTTGTAATATAATTTGTAATGTGAGAAAAAGCAAACTAATGCCAAAATGCTTTTGTGATAAGATTTCTGTATCTGAAGTACTGGTCTAGTTAATTTAAAATGAAAGAGAAATATGGAAATTCCTTCACTAGTGATCAGCACTTATTGAGGCTCTTAGGTTTTGTAAAAATGTTTAGAGTTACAGAAGTATTTTATACTTTTTATATGATTAAAATTTAATTTCTTCCCGTATTTTTTGTTTGGCTTTCTTTTGTCTGTTTTCTTTCTTTAATTGAAAAAACTAATGGAACCAAATATAAGATGGTACCACTGTTTTTTCTTTCTTTTGTATAATCTTGTTGCGTGTCTCTACATAAGCTGTTCTGGCCACTCATCATAGTAACCAGCTGGGCCATTTCACCTGCTGGAGCCATTAAAGAGGACTCTCTCCCCCTAGATTAATCCCCTCCGACATTAGTTTTTTGCACTGACAACTAGAGCAGGCATTCAGAATTTGCAGGTGGCCAGTGTGACGCACATAATTGCCTACAATTTTAGGCAATGAATAAAAATGGTCTACATTACTTGTCAAAGGTTGTATATGCAGTGCCAAGTGAGATCTATGGGAAGCCTTTTAGGGTTTAAAGAACAGTTAATAGCAAGGCTGCACAGGGCTTTTTTAATCATAATGCATTTGTAATATAGCACTTTGATCTTCTCCTTGTAGGAAATGGTGTTACATTAGCCACTTTTAAACATTTATGAGTGAAATTCAGTTATAGAAGAGTAAAAGTGATTATTCTTAAGCAGAACATGTTAGATTTCATTAAAAGTTTTCAGCTTGCCCCTTCCTTGTTAAAATCTGTGGGAAGTCCTTTGCCTGGAGGGTTTCAAATCAGGATCTAAGGATATAAGGCTTTTTCCTTATTTTTCCTGTTGGTAACAGCAAGATTTGGAAGGAAGGTATACTAAATATTGAGATAATTTATACAAATGGATATTTAAAGAGGAATAACTGATTATGGTAAAGTAAAGTACATCGATAAAAATCCAGGAAATTGATTACTAATAATTGTGTTACAATAACTTTTGAGAAATGCATATTTAAAACATATCCATAAATTATCTTTAATAACAACAACAACAAAAACCCAGATGACTCTCAAATGCACTTCTTCTGGAAGAGCAAAATTTGACCTTTCAGACCCGAGAGCCTTTTATTAACACCTGCCTGTAAGGAGAACCTTGCCACACGCAGCTTTTAGATTCAGAACCACAAAACTGATGAGGAAAGGCTTGAAGGGTTCAGTTTGTGTCACTTGCTGTTTGCCGTTTCCATTTCACAGATGATTAATCTTTCTGTGAAGAAAGGCCAGAGAAACAAAGCACATTGGGCTCTTCCTGCAGTTACTCCTTCTGAATGCACACTAGCTTGCTAACTAAAAGGCCTTTAGATTTCCAGCAGAGAGAGATGTTCTGAAAGTGAATGCAGCTGGTTGGAGGTCACCAGTGCAGGGCTCTTGCCATTGTGTAATGGAGGCTTTGGCAGGTTGGGGGGGTGGGGGAGTTGGGGGTATCAGGGGTGCGGCTGCAGGAGAAGTGGTCAGGGAGAAGGTGTTGACAAAAAATTAATTTAAAATAAAAAGGGATTTGGTCAGTTGATTTAATATTTTGGAGGCTGGATCATCGATAATAGGCTCAATTTTGTCTTGTTTGTTTTTCTTCTTAAGGGAAAAATGTAATTTAGTCTTTCTTCAGTATATTCCCTCACTCCATTTTCTAATAGCATGTTTGTCTTCTATATGGCATCACTAGGTAATATTGAAATGGTATTAACTCTTGTATTTAGTCTTTGATGTAATTGAATTGACATTTTTCAGGCTGTTACAAATTTTTGCTAATATTATCCATTTTATACATTAAAAATTTAATGCCACAATGTTTTATTAGTATTTGGTTTTTAAGTGAGATATTGAAAATAATTATTTGTGTGACCTAGCCCCCTTTCATTAAAACAATCTATTTTTATTTGGAAAATTTAAAAACTTTTTATTTTAATATTTAGTATCTAAATGCTTAGTTATTCATATATATTTACTTTTTTCTCAATCGTGTGTAGGATATAATGTGCAAAGTAAAATCCTGGGTTATAGATCAAAAGAAACCTGTTCGCTTCTATCATGATTGGAATGACAAAGAGGTAAGTTATAAATATCATGCCATCTCTTACTGCCTTTGCTTTGATTTGCTAGGGAACAAATTAGAGTTGTCATTATTTTACACTTACCATTATATCTAAACTTTTATTTCTGTCAGTGATTGCTTATTCCTGGGCTTGTTATTTTTTTCTTTTCCCCCATTCATGATATTTCATAACCACTAATCTTTTGGAAACAAGAATTATAAAAATGAAAATGCCTACTTGTTTTAAAGAATGTTTACTTTCAAATTCTTCAGTGATTTACTCCATATTTACTAAACTTTTAAAAAGATTCTTTCTCCATCTCCCACTTTAGATTGAAGTGTTGAATAAACACTTATTTTTGACTTCAAAACCAATGGTCTACTTGGTTAATCTTTCTGAAAAAGACTACATTAGAAAGAAAAACAAATGGTAAGTTTTTCCTCACCATATATACCCAGATGCATCATCTCTGTACACACACAAATACACACCCATGTATATGTACTTAACCGCAATGTTTAATTTTAATATTTTTGTCCTTATTATTAAAAAGTTTAAAATGAATGAGAAGGCTTTGCTTGGTATTTACCTTCACAGATGAGTCTTCTAATTGATTTATAGTTAGAGAACTTAAGAAAACCTGAATTAAATTAAGCAATATTGAATTATATGTTTACTTATCAAATGTAAGTTTATTAGACGTTATTATTTATTTCCATTGCAAAATGGGAATAAATGTAGTCACAACAATAAAACTTCTTACATTAGGATTTCTAGCTGTGTTGATATTATAAGTGACTTTAAAATACCCACTTGGGGTTGTAGCTGGGCATGAATTTTAAAATCCAGATTGAATGCTTTAAAAAAAAAAAAAAAAAGGCTGTGTGTGGGGAAAGACCAGTACCTGTTTCAAATGCTTTAAAAGTACATCGAGGTAAAAACTGTTCATTCATGTATTGATTGTCATTTTTGGCATGTAACCAAAATGTACAAGATTTGTTGCTGTCACTAATAACTTCAGAAAATTATGTGTTCATGTACGTGTAGGCATGTCCACATTTGGCATACCACTCACTTTGACTTGCCTCACTGGACTCTAAGTATTTTATACTATTGAGTCATACAAACAAATCAAAACTATCCAAAGCAAAATATCTGAATTCTCCTAAAATATATTGTCTGTTTCTCCCTGTACTTCATTAAGTACTTAGATGCACATGGTTTCAATTTTCCATTAAAAATTCTCATTTCCATATGATATCAAAGAGTGAGAAGGCTTTAAACTGAAAAATAAACATTCATAGACTGGAAGCCAAAACAATAATTAATGTCAGATGGTTAACTCCAATAAATCATTAGAATAAATTCTGTGAAATTACTGCAACTAAAAATGCCCTGTTAATATTACTATAAGACATTTTGTGTTCCTGATAGAAGCTGAATTTAGCCTCTTTATTGGTAATGTTCTAAAAAGCATAAATTGAACTTAAAGATTTCATTCAGGCTGGTCAGTGTCCTCCATCGGGTAATTAACTTTAAAATAATCAGTTCTGTTGCCTTTCAAATTCTTATAAATGTGATGATTGTGTTAAAAATTGTTACCTTTAGGAATGAATTTTAAAATTTATTACTTGACCTCAGTTAATAAATCTTCTCATTGTGGTATGAATGGTAAGGTTTCCTGTGGCTCTGTGAAACAATACAGACATCAAAGTTTACATGAAAAGGGATGAGTCAGTTTCCTTGCCCAAAGGGGCTTCTCACACCTGTATTTGGATGATTACAGGTAGAACTCCCTGGCTCTAATTGTATAGTAAATACCATTTCCCAGACCCTAATGGTAGACAGACTGCTTAGGAGACGCCAGTCTGTGATTTAGCTGTCGCCAGACACCCCATGTTTTTTGTGAGACCAGTTGTGATGATGATATGGTTATAGCCAATTGAAAGTAAACTCTTGTCTAAATAGCAAATTTTAATTTATAATAATGTAGAGGTATGAATGATCCTATTTTATAAAACCAAATCTTAACAGGTTTTAGGTATAACTAATGATCTGGTTTGGGGTTGGTGTGCGTATGTTTTGGGGGGAGGGTTGGGAGGGATCCAGATCTTGTGGAAGTTAGTGTAATTGTAGCTGAAAGATCAAAGACTGGGTAACTGAGTGATGTTCCAGAAGAGAATTTACCACATAGCCATTTTCTGTACAGTTTCTGCCGCCTGCTGTTCCTATTTTCCCTCAAGCTAGCCATTGACTACCCCCTGTGCATCCCTGCTCGTAAAAAATGATTGAGGAAGTATTTGTCATGTATTTATGAGTGGGAAATATTGTGTGATAGGGAATGGCATCTACTGGAGCCAGAAAGATTGCCATTTTCCTTTCATTCAGCCACTCTGCTACAGCTTTAAATCCTCTGTTTATGCAACATAGCCTTTGTATTAAAGTGCAGAATAAATTTTTATTATGAAGGATATGAATACTAGGTTTTCATCATTTATAACACTGAAAGCAGATGTAAATAGTTAAAATCCATTTTAACTACTAAATCCTTTTAATTGTGTTAGCATCTTGTTTTTTGGTAATGTTTACATCTAAGCTGCATTTGCATTATTAGTTGCTTCTTTAGCAAAAGAAAAAGTTTTTGTTTTTTAAGATTAACATGTAATGTTACTATAGCAAATAAGCCTGATGCAGGAAATAGTAATAAATATTTTCATGGGTCTTTTAGATCTGGAAAACTATTTTAAACCATCAAGAAAGAGGTGAGGAGAAGTTTGTGACTTTGGCCACAAGAGGAAGACTAAAACTGTTGTTATTTTAGCAGGTCACCATTTCAGAAGTATTGAACACTTTAGTTACTGAAGTTCACCCTAAATGTAAATGGTAATGTGTTATTTTTCAACCCTAGAGAAGAAGGAAGCATTTTGAAAGATAGGTCTATTGTGTTATTGAGTAGCTGTATTGACCTTTTGTAAGTAAGATGCAAAAACTGGAATGGCTCCAAGCATCTACTCACTAGTTTTAACAGTGTTGAATTAGTCATTTCATTGATTTATGATTAAAGACCTAGCCCCTGAAGAGAAGCTGACATGGCAGCCGGGTTGGTTGCAGTTGTGTTATGAGCAAATGACAGTAATCAAGATATTGTAAGTGAATCCATAAACCATTTTTTATTATTACAAATTGCTGTTTCTTGAATGAATCAAACTATATAGAAGTTTTTGTTGTTTTTGGTGAGCACAAGCATTTTTGAACGCTCAAGGTTTTCATTTTCTAAACACGATCAGCTGTTACTTATAACTAATACTATACGCGGTATTAATTTTCATTTGAGATTGCTTACTGAGTCATGGTGTCAAGCAGGTACAGGACATTAGAACTGTCAAACTACTGCCTAATTAGGGGTTTAAATTTCAATCTTTGCACCCTTGCTGCTCTGTTAGTAGAGTATGCCATCCAATTATGAAATCAGTAGAACAAACTAATTTTAGGTATTTTTTTACACCTACCAGCTATCAATTATGTTTCATTTTTGTGATCCTGCCTTTCTTGAAACTGTTAATAAAGGATAATTATATTTTATTATTTATTATACTACATATTTATGTTCAACTGGAAAATATAACTAAACTTTTAGATATGCAGACTTTGTGTGTGTGTGTGTGTGTGTTATACACACATTTTCATATGCCTTGGTGGGCTTGTAGTCATTTAGTATTACCTTTTGGGTAATATTATATGAGTCAATTAATCTGAGTCATGAAATTGATTCAAGATAGGTAGACAAATACTTGGAAAGTCTTTTAAGCTGTTTTATAATGAAGGGCAATGTGTCAAGTTCACTAAATGCATTTTAAGTAGAAAAACGTTTTATTATTAATTCTTATTATACTATGATTCAGTTCCTTCCCCTTTCCCATCTTTGTGTGTTCATTAGTTTTCCACATAATTTGTACACAACAACTAAAAATAGTTTGGGGATACTATACATTATGTGCTTGGTTCAGGGGGAATCATGGGATAAATATATTTTCTTGATTTCCTGAGCTGCCTATAAAAATTATAGCTACTATATCTCAGCAAGTATATATGTAGATGGAAGTGTGTATATTTTTGACACACAATTTTCTATTTCTGTATGTGTGCATATATATACACACATGTATGCATATAAATATAAAAAACGATTTCTGTAGAACTATTGTAGGAGGTCATCAGTTTCTGACAAGATCAGTTAAGCTAGAAATACAACACAGACATTCTGCTTTGGAAAAATTACTTTGTATTATGATAAAGCTTATTATTAATAGTATTATTTATACTATGAATTAGGATTTCAAATAATTTTTGGTGAATGAATGTGTTGGAATTATTTCTTTCTCTGATCAGAATCTTTAGAGTTAAAAAGAATATGGTAAAGAAAAATGGTCTTTTTATTACAGGAGATGGAAGGCTGAAAGAAGTGGGGATGGGGAAAAACCTTTGCCCATTCAGGAATCTTTCTTTTTTTCTTTTTTTGGTCAAATATACTTTTGCATTTGAATATATTTTTACATGTAGTAATATTTGTGAATTCCTGTTTGGTTTTCATTAAATGGGTTTTGAATATTCTTTCGACAATTTCTTGTTCTTATCAAGAGGTAACAATGCAGTAGTGCACTTCGGATTTCTTATGAAAGAGATAATTATATACGAAAGCATTTTTTTATATGAACATAATGCTACTGACCGTATGCATATTAGGAATTTCCCTTGGCCTGTTTGTATTTTTTGCAATACTATTTATAGCCAATGATTTCTATTTGCCAGATGGTTCACTGAATTTAAGAAAGTGATACATTTGGGAGTGCCCGTTGTAATCTTATTAGCACCATCTGCTGACTTACTGATTTGTGAGTGATGTAATTTATCAAATATGTCAGGACTTTCATCTTTTTCAAACTAGCTGAAGAATTTCACTCCACATAAATAGGAAAAGTTTTATAAAATTGTTTCTAGCTTCCACAGATGAAAAGGTTTATAAGTACTTTTTAAAAAAATAAGTGTTCCTTAGGATTCTGTCATGTGAAATTAAAATATATATTCCCTATACATGTACACACATCAATGATCTAGGAAATGAAATATAAAGTTTGGTTTATAGCTATACAATGTTCTTCAAATTACAAATGATTCATCTGCACAAAGAATTTCTTTGCTTCCCTACCCTACTCACTTTGTTGAATAATTCAAAAGCAGTCCTCTTAAAAATCTGCACTAGAGATTAAGGATCTCTGAGTCATATTTTGTTACCAAGACTTTGAGTTGGGATGAGCTACACTCTTACAACCGGAGTTGATATGGTTTGGATTTGTGTCCCCGCCCGAATCTCATGTTGAATTATAATCCCCAATGTTGGCAGAGGGGCCTGGTAGGAGACTACTGGATTG